ACTGATTTTAAAGACTTGGGTGTTTATTTTGACTCCAAGCTCACCTTCACCACCCAGATAAACTTTATTGTTTCTAAATCATTCGCGATGTTGGCCTTTATTCGTCGCAACTGCTCGTCATTTTCCGATCCTTATACTCTCAAACTGTTGTATTCGTCTTTAGTTCGGTCGAGGTTAGAATACGCTGTATTTGTTTGGAGACCTTTTCATACAGTTCATGTGAACAGATTGGAGTCTGTTCAGAGGGCTTTTATACGCTTTGCTTTGCGTCCGTTGAAATTTGTAGACCCCATTCCGTCCTATCGTTCTCGTTGTTTGTTGATAAATCTCATGTCCTTAGAGTCCAGGCGTACTTTGTTATCGATGTGCTTTGTCTTTGACATAATTGTAGGCTCTATAGATTGCTCGCAGCTCCTTATGAAAATTCGTTTTAATGTTCCCTCACGTATTCTTCGTTGTAATGAATTGTTTTTTGTGGGTGTTGTTAAAAATGTTTATGGTATGAATGCTCCTTTAAGGAGGACTCTCTCCCAATTTAATGCTTATTCTTCATCTTTAGACTTCGATTTTTCTTACTCAAAGTTTACTTTTAAGAATTTACTCATAAGGCACTTGTCATAAGGGTTTCCCTTATTCTATGTATATATTTGTCACATAGTCTGTAAGCGTCCTGTTTGTTGATAATAATAATAATAAATAAATAAATAAATATTGCAATATGCAAACTTCAGGTTAAAAAGGCTCGCAAGTAAACTTTTTTTTTGCCTTTGCAAGGTCGTAGTAGATTCAGCGCTTAGTTATTCCTTGATTATATATATATATATATATATTACAGCTATGGCCAACCATTTAGCGAACTTGTACACTAAAGCCAAATCCGCTAAAAGTCGGAGTTAAGGTACTTCTATCAAACAAATTTGCTGTTAACATATTTCCTTGCTCATTACTTTATACAACCAACATAAAAAAGTTAATTATAATTCACTGTTAAATCTCTTTAAATGATGAACCTAATTTTCTACGTTGGATCTCTTCATACCTCTATGATAGATCACAAAG